CAGATCATGGCTGCACATTATCATGAAAAGTTCTATTCAACTGGCTAACAGAGAGGACTTGTATATAATCGACGTCCGATTCAAATTTTTAGTAAACAATTGAAAGTTACTAATTTAGTTTTAAATTTTCACAAGTAAGAATATGAGGCAAAAATTAAATATTTTTTCTAAGCGTCATAAAAAATAGTTCCTTGAAACAACTGGTGCGTCAAAATAAAATACAAACATAAAGCCCTTATATAAATACACACTAACTAACTTGTTATACATATAACTTAAACTCTTTTCTGATAAAACTGTCACTATGCAGAAAGGGAAAATGAAAAATCAACAGAAGAATAATTGGCTGTAAATGGGAGCTTCGCGGGCATTTTCAATAATTCTTGACAAAGTAAGGAAATTTCTTCATAAAAGGCAAACAGAATTTGAAAATAAATATCCGCAGATTTGACCAGAAGACACATCATGAATATTAACTTCACTATTTGTATCAGCATAACTTTACATTTTTTTGTACTTACATTATTTTTTCAGCAAACTGGTTTGAAAGAAAATAAGTTATAGTTTGGTTATAATGAAATGATAGACAAGTTGTTCATTTGTGGTAAGAATTAACGTAAGTCTTTTTAAATCACCGTCTGTTTACCTAAGAATATATTTTAGTATTCAAAATTATACTATTGTCTGTAACTTTGTTAAATTATGTAATAGTGTTAAAGCTACGGTTGCAATTCCCCCTTGTCAAAGAAGACTTAACTGTTTTGGTGTTCTATAGTTGTTGTACTTCCCAGCTTTTTATATGTTTGGCTGTCGAAACTTTTGTTCCCGAGAGAACTATCCGCTGCCAAGTAGTGAATGCTTTCGTATAAGCACGATTCAAATAACATATTTTGTCTGTTTTGCCGTTCTTAAAATTTTGTATTTGTGCGAATGCTAAGGTTGGAAATCACCCAGGCAAGGTTGGTCTCTAATGTGTACTGTCTGTCTAATAGCCAATTGTTTTTTTGTATTAGCATCAATCGAATCATACATTTGGTTTGTACACATTTCCATTTCGTGATATTTAGTAATTCTGGTTCAGCTAAGGTTGCATCTCCCTCCAACAAAATTAACTTGGTCGTTAGTTTTTTCTTCCTGTTCTGTCAAGGCCTTTTTGGATACTCAAATTTTGATCTCGCACCGAAATCATATCATTTGTTTTAGTAACAGGCGGATTTAAAAATGCGGTGTTTATATATAACAACTCGTTCGCTTTGTCCGTGTCTGTTGTTACTTTTTGGATTTCAATGAACGTAATCTATGTATTACTGGTAAATTATTAATTCAGGGGTTTCGTTACCACAAATTACTTTTAAAACCTTTACAAAATTCTTCCATAGATACAAAGAATTTGTTTGAAAGTTTGGTTGTACCTGTAGAAAACTTATTTCAAGCGGGATAGCACATCCTAATTTTTACGGAGATGTTGTTTACCGAGCCCGGAAATTTAGATACGATCTGAATATTGATTTTATTGGTTTTAATATTGATTTTGTAATCAGTAAATCAAAATCAAACCTGTATCTTGACATTGCACAAGGTCATGTTTTTCTCTGAATGATAATGACGTCTTTGCATGTACTAAATATATTGGATGTTGGATGTGTACTGATTGTTATTTTAGTCTTAAATGCATGATTTTTTTATTAGTTGTTATTGGCTTTGAATTAGCTGTCAGTAACTGCGAATACTCTCGGATCTGTACTTAATGTCTTTTTTGTTGTGGGGATGTATAAATACCCTGCCACGTCCGGTCTGATGTCTTTCTGCTTTATATCGATCTGATAAGTTTAGCCCTTTTCAACTGATTTTTATAGTTTGTTCTTATATTGTTCTGTTACACTACTGTCCGAGGTTAGGGGGGTGTTGGTGCCTTCAAACTAGTTTAACCCCGACACATTCTGTATGTGCCTGTCCCAAGTCGGGAGCCTCTAATTCAGTGGTTGTCGTTTGTTGCTGCATATCATATTTGTTTTTCGTTCATTATTTTGTACATAAATCGGGCCCTTATTTTTTTCGTTTGAATTGTTTTACATTTCCCATTTCGGGGTTTTTTTATAGCTGACTATGCGGTATTGGTTTCGCTCATTGTTGAACGCCGCACGGTGACCTATAGTTGTTAACTTCTATGTCATTTGGTCTCTGGTGGAGAGTTGTATCAGTGGTAATTATACCACATCTTCTTATTTTTATATTATGTTTTGCATTGTGTCATATCGGGGCCTTTTCTAGCTTACTATACGGTATGGGTTTTGCGTATTGTTGAAGGCCGTTCTGCGACCAATAGTTGCTAATATTTACGTCAGTTGGTTTCTGATGAATAGTTGTCGCAATAATTATACTACAACTTACAACTCTCATTAGCGCCATGTGTCGCATAGTTACCACATCTTATTTGTATAATACTTGTCCATTCTCTTTTTTTATTGAATTCAATTAACTTATAAACAAACGTTATTAACAGTTACACCATTGTTGAAATTAACCGTGATTTTTATACAAGATTTATAGTAATTCAAACTTAACTGGAACACCAGAAAAGACAAAAAAAAACATATCTATATCGATGGTAAAGAAGAGAACTGTGCCTCTCCTTAAAACTAAGGTCATGTACATATGTGAGAAATATTTGAGGCCTTCACAATGTAAACTCACATAAAAACCGAGAGAATATTCGGGATGTTAAAGTCTCCTTTTTTATTTGTGGGAAAAATAATGTTATCAGACAAGATAGCTGGATTCATTACAATAATAATTTGTTTCCTACCAAAAACTTTTTTCCGTGTATGATAATTTTACATTGTATGTTTGCACAAGTTATCCCCCTATTCCCACATGAAATTTTAACTTTTCTTACCAGATTTATAAAAAGTGGGAATAGGAGGAATGAACCCTTTAACATGAAATTTTAACTTAAGAAAAGTTAAAATTTCATGTGGGAATAGGAGGAATGAACCCTTTAACATGAAATTTTAACTTAAGAAAAGTTAAAATTTCATGTGGGAATAGGGGGAAAACTGTGCAAACAAAGGATTATACTGTATAAACATTGTTTAATCAACTTTTAATTGACAAGTGTTTTTGGATAGGTAATAGGTAATTTTTGTATGTGTATAATTTCTGTGTTTACTATACTATATATAAAAATATTAATTTTCGCGAACCATTTAGGTCACGGAAATTCCAAAATATGGCATCAGTAAGGAGAGTTGTACAAATAATGTGAATACACAGAACCCCGATCCAATTTATCTTTTGCTAAAATTATTCATCATTTTCTGTTTTGTATGTTCTAACAACATTCTATTTTTCTATAATTTCGATTAAAACATTCTAAAACCTGCAGTTAAAATAGGTCACATGCCCCAAATAAACATTCCCCGATTGGTTGAACTACTGTGGCCTCGATGTAAAGCAACGCAAGCCTCGATGCAAAGAACACGCTTCCCAAGAGTAATGAGAGTTGTACAAATAATATGAATACACAGAACCCCGATCCAATTCATCTTTTGATAAAAGTGTTTATCATTTTCTGTTTTGTATCAACTAACAACATTTCATATTTCTGTAATTCCGTTTTAAATATGCCAAAACCTGCAGTAAAAAAGGAAAGTCCCTAATCAAATGGCAAAATAAAAAGCTCAAACACATCGAACGAATGGATAACAACTGTCACATTCCTGACTTGGAACAGGCATTTTCTTATGTAGAAAATGTTGGATTGAACCTGGTTTTATAGCTAGCTAAACCTCTCACTTGTATGACAGTCGCATGCAAAGCACACACAAAATTTTCCGTTAATACACAAAAATTTCCGTTAATATGTTGAACTTGGACCCCTGGATTCAACTGATTCACAAACAGAGATGTTCTTGCGCTCAAATTTAGTCTAAGTGAAGTACTAGTATATTGGTAAAGTAAAATTCTAATCTTTTACAGAAATATATACACATTTTATCATTAATATTTTGTCATGCTTTTGTATATTAACTTTTATTTCCGCTGAGCACGTTGGCCAATATGTAGATTTGATATTAAAAGCAATGTCTAGCTAAATAAAATCTATGATCGGTCAGCACTGATTTAATGTAGTGTCTCCTACATGACAGTTTTGATTGACCTGATTTAATGGTTTACTTTTACAAAGTGTGACTTGGATGGAGAGTTGTCTCATTGGCACTCGTAACACATTTTCTTATATATATATTGAACATTAAAACGCAATATTGAATATAAGACTGCTATTTTCAGTGTTTGGTACAGGTTGACTGTCACTGGGCACAACAGTTCAACATAGAACCCTATGGGGAAAGCCAGAGAACTCTTTTTGTCAGAAAACACTGTCAAACATCCAAACATATTATCCACACTGATCTGTGTCCACACTTGTTTTAATTAAAATAATTATGAAAAAAAATGGAAACAAATATAAGTTAATTATTTTGTTTCTTTATTTCACAGATTCAAGAAAGCATTATAATATGCAGGGGCGGATCCAGCCATTTATAAAAAGGGGGGGGGGGGGTTCCTAACCCAGGATAAAGGGGGGTTCCAACTATATGTCCCCATTCAAATGCACTGATCGTCAAAAAAAGGGGGGATTCCAACTCCCGGAACCCCCCCCCCCCCCCCCCCCCCCCTGGATCCGCCACTGATATGAAACAAACATTACAAGTTAACAGTACTAAAACAAATCACACATTGTAGCACACACCTTAGAAATTCACTGTATATAAGTCTATTAAAGTTTATTAATCTATTCAACGTGAAGAAGGTGGGAGGCTGAATCACCAAACTGTACTGTTGTGACTTCCAAGTTGCGGTGTCTAACCTTAAGCTCTTCTTATTTGTTGTTGATTTCGACATACTTTCGTTTTTGAGCCACTCTTTTCCCACCGGCTGCATACTGCATCATTGTCAGGGCGTTGAAAGCTTCCTCATGCTTCAGTAGTTTTATGAGTTTAAAGATGTTTGGATGTGGGTGCTGTAAATGTTTCTTCAGCTTGCTGTGCCATCCCTCTAGATGATGTGTAGTCCTCGATCCCTGTGTTGTGTAATGGTCCCAAAGGTGACTGTTCTGTTCGACCCAGTATGTTGTTACATAGTCTGTAAAGGGCGTGTAGTTGATGTTAGTATCAATCTGATCTATGTCGGTTAGGGCATTAAACCACACATCTTCGACCTCAGCAGTAGGTACAAGTGGAAGGACAGCGGCACGGCGTACAAGTTGATGAATGTTGATGTCTTCCTTGTATGGAACCTGAATCCCTGTTTCTTGTGCATTTCTCCACATGCAGTGTGTGTAGTGGAAAACACAGCCTTTTGCGTTGATGCCAGGAAATACAGAATATGCTGCATTTTAGATGGAGACTTCATAGTCCAGGAATATAGTGGTAGGCTGAAGTTGCATTGTAGTTGGTGTTGGTGGCATACATCTTTGAGTAAAGTCAAGAACCTTGTGTATACTAGTTCGCTCTTGGCTGGAAGTAAACTGTGTACCAGTGGATACATTGCGCCGTCAACCATTGCGTGAAATGTTTAAAGTTGGAAGAATAGGCTCGGACAGGAGAAGAATGTACCATCACCATATATGATATCTGCAGCTGATAAGTGTGTTAGATTCTTTTGAGTACTTAAGATTAACATACGCCCAACTGTGTTGTCATCTGTTAGCAGGAATGGGTCACCTTTGGTAGTACGTGCCCAAATACCATCTATGTTGATTTCATCAACAGTTTTTGTTAAAACTGGTAGGTTCTTCTTGCGCTTGTTGTACATGGAAATCTTGCAAGATGGGAAAGTTTGTTATAATATTATCTATCATCAATTTATTTGTTTGGATGACAATTTTTTTAAGTTTACAAATTCAATGATTTTTTAATCTTACTTCTATTTATCTGACTTATTCTTTATTTTTAAGTAAATCTTTGAAGAAGAAATAACATATTACATTAACCTTGATTGTTATAAAAACAAATTATTTATCAAAACATCTATTGTTATTTGCATGTGGGAATAGAAGGGATAGTGACTTTTAAAAAGTGGGAATAGGAGGAAGACACCATCTATTTATAATGTTACAAAATTTTAATTATTTTGAATCTTGTGCTGTTGGGGTTATTTTCAGTTTCCAAAGGACAAATCTGCAATATAATTTGCACAATATTGCATGTTTGAAGTAGATTGTCTAATTTTATTTAGTGAATTTTCATGATATCAAATAATAGAGGTATATTTCAACGATATATTGACTTATAACTAAAACCTTTCTCAATACGTTATTTAATCAAGGGCGTATATTAAGTAATACTATATACATCCTTGATTTACTTAAATATAAAAGATCCTAAATCAAACTTAACTTTATACACACGTACCTTGTTGAAATTTCTCAAATGCAAATATATTAAATGTAATAAAAGTCATTGATTTGCAAAAAAAAAGTTTAAAAAAGGAAAAATCCATGAAGTATACGAGATATTAGGTGTAAGAGTGAGCACTTTACTTCGTTATATCAGAACCATATCATACAGTTTCTGGTTATATCATATTCGATTTTCAAAATAAACCACAAATTGGAATATAGTCTCGATCATCCAGTCTAGTTATATTTATATTTGCGTTTGGGTAATCGAAAAATAATAAACAAAAAACAAAGCAAAAAAAACAGTCCACAAAACACGTATCATGTTTTATTATGTTTTGTACTTCTGTGCACTCATTGAATAATCCCGAAGACTGCAATGAAGTAAGATAAATTCGTAAGTTAAGTAGTTTCAACGCTAAGGAATATTTTGAATCTTTTGTAATATAATTAATGAATAGAGGTGTAAAAAAACTAAATGTCTTTTCTTTTATATATTATTATCATAAGTTCTAATTAAACTTGCTTCTTATTTCTTTCAGTTGTTTAGTGTTGCGTATGGAAGCTTGTTCTTAATTTTTGTTCGGTTATTTCATGTCATGTATTGGAGCTGGATCTTCATTTTCGTTCGATTATTTTTATTTCTCGCGTGCGCCTTTATAAAAAAACAACTGAACAGAACCACAAATCAAGTGCAGAGAAGTAGTTTTAATGGATTTTTTTCTTTTGAACTGAACACAAAAATAAACGTAATACTTGTGACTCTAATAACAAGTGTATCTTCCTCATAATGTATTATTCAGCTGTTCTTCACAGATAATTTGTTACGTCTAAAACGGTTATTGATATCATTTATAGTATTTTAGATGATAAATTTTTAATATTCAATGCGTATTTCAGGTATGCGTGATCTAAAATCGATTGAAAAAGGTTTCGAATTAATGTTAGTGTTGTTTGAGCTATATAATTGCCAACATGCAAATGATTAAATGCCTGATTTTATAGTCTCATATACGCTTATCATTTTAAAATATATCCAATAATCTGGCTTGTCAAGAAAATATTAAAAGTTACAATAAATATCAATTATGTTTTATTATTATTTCATTTATTTTTTTCTTTTGATAATTTATTCATTTTTGAAGAATTGTATCTCCCTCGTTTTTCTTTCATCTGTCGTGACTCATTCTGGTAGATATCCTTGATAGAGGGTTGCTGCTTAGGTATGTGTAGGTTTTTGATCAAGGTACATCAAATTTCGAACAAGTCAAACCAGATCTTGTTGAAATAGATGAGTAGAAGTGACACAAAGTTTGAATATTAAGGGTCAAATTTAGGACGTTTATCATACCTCCTCCATGATTTAAAGGGCAGTTTTTCGTCATAAATATTCAATTTCTTGATATGGTTTTATGTAAGACATTTTGGTTCTAATGCACTTAGTTTGCAACATGGAAATGTCTTGGTGACCTATAGTTGCTAAATTGTTTCATAGGCAATCATACCACATCTTCTTATTTTATATTGCAGGAGGGGAGGGATACTGGAAGAAAATTACCGTGGCTCTTTTACAAAAATATCCCGATTAAACTGAATTGTTAGTCATGATGAAATTGTTCATGTCTTCCTATTATTTTCTGTGAAAGTAGTCACCGGACACGAACATCCAGCCAAGTTGGTTTGATGTTTCAGTGTCAGTGAAGGTGTATCAACTGAATATACTGTTGGCACGTCATATTGTTTGTTAATTATTTTTTTTTTTTTTGGGGGGGGGGGGGGGAGACGAACAGCTAAATATGCCGATTTCCTGTCATTTCACTTCTTCTGTCAAGTGTAATCAAACACATGTTTCTCTTTTTTTTTACGTTTTAATTTTCTGTCCCTTTTATATTGTATCATTATTAGTATTAATTCGTGTATTGTGTTATTGCTTATTTTTTCATGAATTTAATTTTTATATATTAATTTTTGTTGTTCGGTCTTTAAAGTTATTATGTTGTTTGTTTTGTTTTGTTTTGTTTTGTTTTAGTAATGTATATTATATCAAATCGTCTTCGTTTTGTTTCGTTTCTGTCTTGCACTTTGGGCAAAATCTAACCATATTTCTCAATGAAGCCATATGACTTTTGCTATCGTCGTTTGATTTACATTTCATAACGTCTAAATAGGTGAGCGATACCAAGGGAGCTATAAATACAATACGGTTTCGGTCATATTGGCATTCTTGTAGATCTTGTAATGTTGATCTTTTTGCCTTTAACAGTTTCTACCTTTCTAATATCGTTTTTGAGTCAATAGGCAAAAACATGAAATTTACCCCAAAAAATCGTAATTTTAGGGTCTGCAATAAATTTTAAGGAAGTCATCTGATAACTTTGATGCAAGCAGGAAGTCAATAGATCTTGACATTCTGACAAAATGACATAGAAGGTTATCAAATGTAGGTCACCGTACGACCGTCAAAAATGAGCAAAACCCATACCGCATAGTAAGCTACAAAAGACCCCGAAATGACAAAGGTAAAACAATTCAAACGAGAAAACTCACAACCTGATTTAAAACAAAACAATTTACGAAAAGCAAATATGACAGACATGAACCAATGACAACAACTGAACCACAAGCTTCCGACTTGGGACAGGCACATAAAGAATGTGGCGGGATTAAGCACGTTTGTAAGCGCTCAACCCTCTAGAAAACAGCAACAACAACAACATCCCTAACCTGGGACAGTGGTGTAACAGCATGACATAACAACTAACTATAAAAATCAATTGAAAAGGTTTAATTCATCAGATCGATATAAAGCAAAAAAAAAAAAACAACTAACAAAAACACAAAAGACACAAACTACAGATCTGAAAGTACTTGCAGTTACTGGAAACTAGATGAAAGCCAATATAACAAATGATAAGAAAATCATGTATAGAAGGCTATTTCTGTCTAATATACTTTTCAAGATTTGACAATTAAGTTATTTTTTGGCTCCGTGTTGGGGCCTCACAGTGATTTTGAGGTGAAGAACAGCAATAAAAGCGTTGTTCCTTTGCTTTTTGTGTGTTTTTTGCTGTGCATGTACTGATTTTGTGTCATGGATGGATACCCCACATCCTTTGTTTTTCTATTATTTTATCCTTATGTTCTATTTTTAGCCATGTGGCCATGTTTGTTCCCTGACCAGAAAAAAACACAGAATTTATAATAAATACCATAGGGATCGATTACCCCACGTTTGGTTGAAATTGGACGAGTAGTTACAGAGGAGAATAGCTTTCAAAATGTATACAATGCACTCAAAAATAAGTATAAAAATGTTCTTTAAAGCAATAACTCCTAAAGGGGTTATTCAATTTTTTCAGTTGTATTACCATTTTTGTATAGATGTTGTATTTTTTAATATTTTTGCGGTGTACAGTTTCTGTCTATATATTATATTTTTTTAGATACCAGGCAAAAAGGTAACAGGTAAAATTAAGAGAAAAAAAATTGTTTATAGGCAATAACTTCTGGAAGTAAAGTTCTGAAATTCTGAGCATTTTTGCACTGTCAGATTTTCTCTATATATTGTTGTTTTCAAGATAAAATACAATTAATACATTTTACTCTTATACTCTATTTTTAGCCATGGTGCCATGTTTCTTAACGAACAAGAATGAAAAGCACAAACTTTATACTAGATACTCTATAGATCATCCACCAAATATAAAAATAAGGAGATGTGGTATGATTGCCAATGAGACAA